TTGCTCTTTCTGAAAATACTTATAATGAACAAAGTAAATGTAAATTTAATGAATTATTTTTGTAAATTAGCCTTTTATGTTTTTTATTTTTGACACATAAACACTCCTCTTTCTCCCTCTCCCTTCTTTTCTATTTCTCTTTTCCATCTCACATATTTAAATAAAAGTTATTATAAAGGAAAGTAATTTAAAAGGATTACTTTATATACGATTTTCTACTTAAAAGTTGAGCTTTATAAATTATGGATATATATAGTTTATGTCCATTTCCCGCTTTATGTTCATTTCATTTTTCTTCGCGCGTAATAACATTCATAGATTTCCCTGCTTGTAATTTATATCACAGAACTTTTTATGAAGAATGTCTTTTATTCAACACCGTAAAAATTTTAAGTCTAATCAATTTTAACTCTAGAGTGGAGATTACAAACGGTTTTTACATTTGATTGACAAATTAATATCAGTTACGCAACACGAAAATATATAAGATTGTTAATTCTGCTATAAGAAGTGTACTTTATTATGATTACTGATACGATTAACTTTTTAGATTTTTGTTTAGCAGCTTAGAAACGTTTACACGATCAATAAGTGATAGCTTATCACTTTGATATGTTATCTAAAAATATACAAGACTTAACAAAAATATAAAACTTCTTTTCTACTCTACATTGAATACTTTTACTTCAAGTGCATATAACTATTATTAGATTAGTTTTAGTCTTCTAGCAAGTTGATATGAAATTTGTCATTTGTCACTTGTTTTAAAAGACTAAAGGTATACGGATCTTACTTCACCTATATCATCGATGAATACTGTTGAAAATGGGATTAGGATTTGTTAAAAATGTTATAAGATTATTCAGACATAATAAAATAAAAACAGAGTCAAAATAAAAAAACAGTATTGAAGATTCTTTTCAGATATTTTTTGGCTTGTACTTTGTTAATTAATTAATTTAATGTCTAAATATATTAAATTGTTTATTATTACATTATATTGCAGATACAGAATTTATTTTTACATTAAATTGCAAGATTGTTCCGCTCGCTGATATTCTCGCGTTTCACTTACTCTCCATACATTTGTACACAAATGATAGACTCAACTCTCAGATAAGAACTGTTTCATCCTCAAGAAAGAGCTAAGCTCGTGCGTATATGTTAGTACAGCTTAAAAGCCAAACTACGAGTCCTTAAACCCTAAAGCATCTATAATTTTAAGAAGATTTTTATAATGCAATTACTTTTGCGATAAAAATTAGATTTAATTATGATAAAATTTAATTAAAAAGATCGAGTGTCATTCTTTCCAAATACTTTATATATGTACATATCTCAAACTCATTTGTAACATCATGTAAGAAGTTGAATAATAAACTGTTCATGATATTCTTTTTGATTATTAGAGAACTTATTTATACATAAACAAAGACAACGTGAAAGATATTATATACTTATAGAAGTATTACAATTGTTGTGTTTTACAAGAACACATTACGTGTTGATAAATTTTTATCTTGCTTTCTTTAAAAAAGCGCAAGGATACATATTTAAAAACTAGCTTCCTAAAATTTCTAATGTTTATGTACATAATTGAGGATATTATATATACTTATATGTATATACTTATGAGTAGTACAATTCTTGTGTTTTATAAGGACATATTACGTGTTGATGAATTTTTATCTTGCTTTCTTTAAAATTTATAATGTTTATGTGAATAATTGAGGAAGATATTCAATTCTTGCTACAATTTAAAAAAGTAATTTTAAGTATACATATAAACAACATACAGAAAACGGCTAATACGGGTCTAAGGCAGGATGTAGCTGTACTTGTAATTTATTTTTATTATTATTATTTTTAAAATTATATATATAATTATTAATTATACCTACATCCTGCCTTCAGTTTTATTGCGGGTCCAACTTTCACTCTCTTGTTTAAGTATATAATTCTATACTTGACAAACTGTAAATAAATTTTATTACTGTCCCTCAATTCTGTCCGTTTGATAAGACTTGTGTAACAGGAGTCTTCGATTTTCTTGCACGTATCTTCAACCAGAAGCCTGTATCGGGAGTCAGTATGAAGTTTTGCTTGCTCAATACCATAGGATTCCTGGTTTTAACATCGGGCTCGAGATCACAACGCGAAAGCAGGTAGAACAGCATAACTTTTGCTTCCATTAGAGCAAATCTATTACCTATACAAATTCGGGGTCCAATACCAAATGGCATATACACCGAATTGTCCACTTTACCATTGAGAAATCTTTCTGGGTCAAACTTATCTGGCTGCGGATAGTACTTTGGATCGCGATGCAAAGAGTAAGTTGGAAACCATACGCTATCTCCAGGCTTCAGCGTGATCGGTTCGCAATCTGGAGTCGCAGGTGGCAATTTGGTCTCTTTAACACATACTCTGTCAAGGAAAGACGCTATCGGATATATTCTGAGAGTTTCATTGACCACAGCGTCTAAATATTTCATAGAATTGATGGCCTCATAGGTAGGTTTACCATTGGTCTGTCTGAGAACATTGTTAATTTCCTCTCTTAATTTGCTCTGAATATCGGGATAGATACCGAGTTCGTTTGTCATAAAACACATGGCTGCTGAAACAGTATCAAATCCGGCGAGAAAGAAAACAAATGCCTGAGCGGTCATTTCGTTAATGTCGAAATCAGGTCCGGTATTTTTGTTCCTAGTCTCCATCATCAACTGAATCATGTCCGGACGAACAATTCCTTGTTCATCCCTGATCTTCACTGTTGTGGAAACGATATCGCAGAAGAACTTCTCTATTATTGGGCCAAACATTCTGAGTTTGAAGAGTTTCGCAAGTGTCGGGAAGTTTCTATGCATGAAGAACTTGAAGGAAAGTGCGGTGTCAAAAGTCATTGCCTTCTGGCCAAGCAAGAAGAACTCGTTGTTCTGATGCTTGAAAGAATCCACACTGATGCCGAAGGCACACGTGGCCACTGTATCGTTGGAGTATCTGCTTAGTAAATCTTTCATATTATATGTCTTGCCGGTTTCTCCAGATTGCGTTACCACATAATTGACGAAGTTCTCAGCGCACTGACACATAAGTTCGAACATCATCTTCATCTTGCTGGATGTAAAACTAGGGCTAAGAAGCTTCCGCATCTCGCGCCAGTGATCCCCTCGCATGCCAAACAGATTTTTACTGGCTATCGGATCCAGAGTTTCGTTCACGAAGTTACGATGATCGCAGAAATTGTCGAAATGTTTTATGGCAATCGTGGAAATCAGATCCGGATCACGGATTACGAAGAGTGGCGTTACAAAATCGTAGATGCCAAAGTATTTTGCGTTCGGAAAGAGATTGTACATTCTTTGTACATTTTCGACATGAGCCATACGTCGAAAAACAAATGGTGCCATGTTGCCGAGCAATGGAAGTGGTCGCACATATGGGATCTTTAGTCGCTCGAAATAAGATAACTTGCTTAGAATAAAATAATATAAGCAAATACTCGCTGTCAGAATGGTCAGAAGCATAGTGGACGGCTCCATTGCGACAAGAATCTTCAGATCAGTTGGATTCTTCCCTGATTAAGTTCTAGTTGTCGGCAGTTTTTGTCTTGGATTGATGAAACGATTTCCACACTTGATCGTTAAAGTAATAACGCAAGAAGAAGAGTACTAATTACATTATTGTACCAGCTTTGATAGTGGCCGTTAAAACTTCTGTCTAATTGAACATATTTAACCAGTTAATAGATCTGGTTGGCAATGACATGTACTCAACACGCGTGATACTTTACAACTGGCTGCTGCACGTATACTACGATGATTATATAACACTGTAAGGTCGTAGATATAAATATGCAAGTCACACTCACCATGCATCTTCTCGAGATAACGAGATAACTGCGTACATTTCTACGTAAACATATTCTTATCAATATTGCTACTTGCTTTATTGAAATGAAGTGAGATAGAGGTCAATTGGCTTTTTATTTTCGCAACGTCATTATTTATTTTCATTCTAGAACAATATTTTGCTTATTATATTTCTCAGTATTGTGAATATATGTTTAATTATTATTCAACTGTAGAGTTACAATAAAATGACGCTCAATTTTTAAGCTAAAAGTAATTTACAATGCAATAAACGAAAAAAGTTATGATAATAATTATATGTATAGCGGATTAAAATGATCAAAAAAGAAAACTAATCTTTTCTCTGACAGGAAACAATAGAAATATACCAGCAAACATATAGAATACTTGGATAAGTATTTCTAATGAATGAGAATTATTTGGAAATACCTCATATTATATTTATAATGGTATAAATTTACTATAATTAACATAATATTACGAGATATAACATCTATCCTCACAGTATCATTTCACAAAATTAAAAAATAATATTTTATACATCTTGCAAATGAATATTTATTTACGGAATAAAATTTAATTCAAAGGTAAATTTGAATTGTCCATTCTTGTGTTCTTTGACATGAAAACGGTTATTTGCATGAACCACAACGTGATTAATTCAAATATCGATCAATTATTTCTATATTAATAATACAGCTGAAAATAATACTCATTTCTGTTTTTAGTATTTATAATTATAACTGGCGTAGATCATATTGTTGGATAATTGATAAACGTGTCTTTACTTATGCAAATTTTTTTATATATATTGTACTATTGAAGAAAAGATTGCACTTTGGTGTAATTTTAAAGAGCAACTTTAAGCATATAATTCTGTCCTGATTAATTGTAAATACGCTTCATCACTGCCTCTCAATTTATTGGACAAATATTATGTAACAGGAGGCTTCGATTTTCTTGTTCGCAATTTCAACCTTTATCCGCCGTCATAACGAATGTTTTCTTGCTCAACACCACAGGAATTGCGGTTTTAATATCAGACTCGAGATCGCAACGCCAAAGCAAATAGAACAGCATAACTTTTGCTTCCATTAGGGCAAATCTATTACCTATGCAAATTCGGGGTCCGATACCAAATGGCATATACACCGAATTGTCCACTTTACCATTGAGAAATCTTTCTGGATCAAACTTGTTTGGCTGCGGATAGTACTTTGGATCGCGATGCAGAGAAAACGTTGGGAACATTATAGTATCTCCTGGCTTCAATGTAATCGGTTCACCATCTGAAGTTGCTGGTGGCAATTCGGTCTCTTTAATACAGCATCTGTCAACGAAAGATGCCACTGCATATAATCTGAAAGTTTCGTTGACCACGGCGTCTAAATACTTCATACGATTGATGGCCTCATTGGTCTGTCTGAGAACATCATCAATTTCTTCTTTTAATTTGCTCTGAATATCGGGATTTATACCGATTTCATGTGTCATAAAACACATGGCTGTTGATATCGAATCGAATCCAGCGATGAAGGAAACGAAAGCCTGGGCGGTCATGTCGTTGATGTCGAATAACAGGTCCACTATCTTTGTTCCTCGTCTCCATCATTAACTGAATCATGTCCGGACGAACAATTCTCTGCTCATCCCTGACCTTCACAGAGTTGAAAATGATATTTTTGAAAAATTTCGTTATCTCTGGATCAAAAAATTTGATATTGAAGAGTTTTGCAAGCAACGGGAAGTTTTTAAGTATGAAAAACTTGATGACGATCAAGGTATCAAATTTTATTGCTTTCTGACCAAGCAAGAAGAATTCGTTGTTCGGATGTTTAAACGAATCCACGCTGATGCCGAAGGCACAAGTGGCTACTGTGTCGTTGGCGTATCTGCTTAGTAAATCTTTCATATTATAAGCCTTGCCGATTTCTCCAAATTGCGTTGTCACAAAATCGACGAAGTTCTCAGCGCAATGACACATAAGTCCGAACATCATTTTCATCTTGCTGTGAAGATGTGAAGATGTGAAAATAGGGCTAAGAAGCTTACGCATTTCGCGCCAGCGATCCCCTTGCAAGACAAACAGATTTTTACTAGCTATTGGATCAATAGTTTCGTCTATGAACTGAGTATGATCGCAGAAGCTGTCAAACTGTTTGATGGCTATCATGGAAATCAGATCTGGATCATAGATTGGCGTTACAAATTCATAGAGACCGAAGTATTTTGCATTCGGAAAGAGATTGTATGTTCTTTGTATATTCTCGGCATGGCTTGTACGTCGAAAAACAAAAGGTGCCATGTTGCCCAACAATGGAAGTGGTCGCACATGTGGGATCTTCAGTCGCCCGAAATAAGATGACTTGCTTAAAACAAAATAATATAAGCAAATACTCGCTGTCAGAATGGTCAGAAGTATAGTGAACGGCTCCATCGCGACAAGAATCTCCAGATTAGTTAGACAATAAGACAATTTTCCTGATTATGTTCTAGTAGCCGGCAGTTTTTGGTTTGGATTATTGAAACAATTTTCACATTTAATCATTAAAATAATGTTAATGATGCAAGAAGAAGAAATAACAAAATCACATTACAGCTTCGATAATCGTCATCAGAACTTGTATTTAATTGGAAATAGTTAACTGATTGATAGTTGATCTGTCTATCAGATGTATGCAACACGCGTGAGATTTTATGACTGGCTGTTGCATATATGCCACGATGAAATTATATAACACTATACGTTAACAGAAATGAATTTCATGGTCACTTCCATTATCTCATTGATATGACGTCGTGACGACGCACGTTTCTTCGTAAACATGTTTCTATCCGTATGAGAAGCTTTTTGAAATAAATTGGATTAATTGGCTTCTTATTTTAGTAACGTTATTGTCCATTTCAATTAAACAATATTGTGCTTGTAATATCTCAGCATTGTGAATACAAGTTTAGTCATTAATAAATTGGAGATTTAATTACAATGAAACAACGCTAAATCTGTAAGCATTTACTTTGTAAACGCAATTAGTCTTGGAACTGCAATTATTTTGACCCCAGTTTGAATTCAAAGCGTTGCCATTTCTATAAACGCGTATTCATAAATCCATAGTAGTGAGAGAAAAGTGTAATGGCACGCTCTTACGATTCCGACCACGATCAGTCTCAATCATTGCTCAGCTGCTGCTCAAGGTCGAGCAATTTGATTTGACGTTTCAGTACCCCTAGGTGGTGTTTGTATAACTTTTTCACTATTAATAAAAAATTTTAATTTTTTAAATCGAATTTTCTTATCACGAAGAGTCGAGTACTGTAAGTGAATTAATATTATCTATTTATCTAACACAATATTAATATTATCTATTATGAAAGTAATTAGAGATGTAAATTATTATTAGAAAAGTGAATTAATATTATTATTGTGAAAAATAATTAGAGATTAAACATACGAGAACATGCCAATGCGGGTCTAAGGCAAGATGTAGCCCTGACGTGTAATTTTTAAAATGTGAATTTATATGTATTAAAATGTACATTAAAATGTGAATTCATAATTAGAGATTATTTTATTTAATCGTGACTTTGGGACATAATCGTTTAATACATCTGCGCAATTATAATAAAATTTTAAACTTTTATATTTGTTTATAAGAAATTGCTATTTCAAGCAATAAATTAATATAATTTCCATATTACTGAAGCTTTCAAGAATTACACAATTGTCTTTCTGACAAGAAAATGTATCAAGGTGAATAGAAGTTCACAATTAAGGACACGACATCCTATCAACTGAATGTGATAATAATGAAAATGGTGATTTGAGAAGTGGATAGGCACTTATACGATATGCTATTATGATTGGCACCCCAAGGTTTCTCCTAAATACTCCGGTTAACACTTTGTATGAATGCGGGATATCAATAAATTGTCGGATCCGTTCACTTGTATTAACTGAATGATTGACCCATTCTTCTTATGTGGCAATTGTGCCAAATATATATTTTTTCTTGTTAATAATTTTATTTACCATTATTGTTAATTTACTGAAAGCATACAAAGGGAGTTAAAAATACAAATAAAGTTGTCTATATTAATCATGCATTTGTCATTTTGAAAATCAAAATTACTTAAGCTATTCACGAATTAATTGCGGAATACATAGAGAGTTATACCATATTACATTTGTTTAAATAAATTTTTCATTAAGATTTAACATTTTATAAGTTAAATGACTTTTTAGTATACTATAAGCCATGTGTTTTTATGAAGTTTTATATTAAGTTGAAATAAAAATCAGCGGTGTATTACAAATTAATTGGATAAACGTGAAAAAAATTTAAAAAGTCTCTTTTCTTTACTATGTGACTTACAAGAATGTATGTTTCGAAGCACGTTTTAAAAAGCATACTAGGTGCTTTTTATGCAAAAATTCTACATGCATATAGTTCAGTCGCCATGCGGTGAATGTATAACGCTGCACTTTGTGTATTGCTCGTTCATGTTTATTTCAGTTACTATCTCACAACTCGTGAGGCTTGTGTCTGTGTATAATTCACAGCGTTCTATCTGTTTATATGTATAAAATTGCACTCTAAATTGTTTGTTCGAATTTTAATGTAAAACAAAATGTGAACGTGTGTGTATGTGATGTAGTGCAAGAAACTTAATTTAATTAGTTTCGGATTAGTATATAATTCTAAATTTTTATAACATTTTTGGACAAAATAAATTACAATCAGAAATTAGATGCTGTAGTATTAAAACGCTGATATAATTTTAAAACTTTTTTAACGCTATTTATATTTAAAAAAAGCTGTAAGAAGTTATCTTCATTCTAATTTTGTATAATTCTGCAGTCTTTTACAGTATTGCTAGTATATTCTTTCAATGAAAAGATTGCTATTAATTTAACACTTTCATTTTTTTAACGTTTACCGTTTTATTAAAAGTATTTTATTATTTTCGGGAACAGGTAAGACAAGTAGTATTATATTATTAATATTTAAACAGGATTTTAATAATATAATATTAACATTGCTCATCAGTAAAATATATTAACAAAGGCTAGGCAAATATTTATCATAATGTACGAGTATTATATAACTCATGACTGGCATATCTGAAGAACATGATGTGTTGACAAGGCAGTGTTATTCATATTTATATATCTGTGACATAAGTTATGGTTATATTATGAATATATGTGTGCATGCATTTTAATAAACGTTATTAGAATTCTTTACTAACATCTCATAACTCTTTATAAGCCTCTATAAATTAAGAAGTTTATAATGCAAATTTTTATAACATTTATATTTTTCGAGTAAATTATATTTTTATGCTATAACAAATTTGCACAATGTACGAAGTATAAGATTTATATATCAAATACATATACAAGATTATTTATTGTATTAAACATGCAATATATAAAATTGAGTATTTTATAGATGTGCTATTTACTCGCGCTTACGATTAGAGTTTATTATGCTTATCGCTGTTTCTGAAAACTGCGCGATAAATCTGCCTCATTGCAAGGTACTTAATATCCTTACTTAAGGTACTTAAAGGTTCCTCGAACGTGATCAACGTTCACGCGTGAACAAATCAGCCGCGTAGCGGATAGAAAGTAAAGACTGACTTTATAGATATCGGAAGACAGTACTTTACAAAACTTTTCAGAGTGCCAATAGCAGCAATAACGGCGGCGGCGGAAATATGAACCTGGTTTCGCTCGTGGGCACGAATGGAACGCGAAGACCACCCTCCCAACAATCATCGTTTCACTCGTCCAAGAACCATTCCCGGCATCAACCTGCGTCCGCTCCGCCGTCGACACCGCGGAACGTCTGTCAGATGACCGAAATAGAAGCCCCGTGTATACGTAAGTTATTCTATTCACTATTGCGACGTGAGATTCAAGCCTCTTAGAAATCTCTCACATGGTATACCTTATAAGATAAGAATCGCGCGCTCTCTCTATAAGACGTTCTAACCGTTGTCAATTTCCTTTGCGAAGTTCAAAACGATTTTTTCGCAAAGCGATTTTCCCCTGGCGTAAACATCACTTTTGCACGATATTTATAACCACGCTGCGGTCTGATATTATTAAAATCATAAACTGACCTAATAAAAGTTTCAAATGCTGCGAATGATGAAAAAAAGATACATATCTCATAACGCTTTTAAGTGAAGTTGAATTTTTTGTATTTAGCAAAATTAAAAAGACACGTTTCTATCAAGCTATAAAATATGCTTCTTATTTTTATGCCTCTGTAGATGCAAAAACAAACAGAATCTGTTTTCACTTCGTAGACGTTAGGTCATCTTGTCGGAATCTCGGATCAACCAGATTCAATCAAGAGAGCATTACAAAGATGCTCGTGCTTATTAGCACAGTCTTCATATTGCTTAATCTACCGAGGTGAGTATCTTGATTGCATCATTTCTTACGCTTTTTTTCTATTTTTCTAGTATCTTGGCTACATCATTCTTTACGCTTTCTTCTACTTTTCTTTCACGGTGCGCATTTCGGATTTTAATCTATAAATTTCACGTGCTTGTGACATTTATCATATTAGATGTTTTTTAATACATACAAAATTAATAATTGCATTTATGTAATCGGATTAGATTATATATATCTACACATTGTTTCTTTAATACATGTTGCAGGAGATTTAATCGTTGAAGGTATTTTCAAAATATTATGAAAATATCACATATGTATAAATTGTTGCAATATTTGAACAAATTAAGCTTGAATAATATAGTTTATATGTTTGATGAAATGCATTTGAGCTTTCAGTTTAATTTATTTATATTGGCTTGTTTATTATATCATACGTATATTAATTATAAACAAATTTATATAATTTATAGCATAATTTTATAGTATTATTTATTATTTAATATTTATTATGTGAAATTTACTGTAATAATATTTATTATATGAAAATGATGATAAAGTTTTAAAGATAATGTTCTATGTGTAAATTAAAATTTGTTTTCTCAAATTACGGTAAACGAAGGAGTGAATTTTCCTTTCAATAGACATAATATAAAATGTATTCATAAGTAAAAGCCTATTCATTCAATAAGTAAAAGACTATGATTTTTTTCGAAAGAGATAAATTGTGAAGTAGATGTAAATTGCAGTTTACAGTGGAAATGAAATGATTAATACTTCTTGGTGAAATCGAATTTGCACGGAAATTGCATTACGAATCGAGTTCTCGCTCTGTTTCAGCTACGTAATTCGTCTATGTGTGTTCTTCTTCGCTCTGGCAAAGAAGAATACACCGGAGACACTCTGGTGTCTTCAGCAGTTCTTCATGTTGCTCTATTATACAAACTTCAGCATCAATTTCCTCCTGTACGCAATGTGCGGCATCACGTTCCGTCGATGTTTGGAGCAGATACTGCGCAGGATCCTAAAAAGTATGACTCGATATCACTGCAGTCCACAAAGGTACATATGTGTAGCTTGCATTCCATTGTTGCTAAAGATCCGATTCATTGTCAGATCAAATTAAATCGTTGATTAATGATGGCCATTAGGGAATCGGTAAGCCCGTGAAACATCGACGCTCCTTGGCCGACGGTTCTCCCCTATCCGTGTCTGGTTTCAACCGAGGTTTTAGCCCAAATCGTCGAGGCTTTTGTGGGTGTAAATCCAAGGATAAATCCAAGATGATTGCCTTTGGCTGAATCGCCTTGAAAGGGCGCACCATCAGACGCGTTACGCATCTGTGACTTTAAGTTCGATGTCGACGCTCAGACAGCGGATAAAGATTTGTCAGAAAATAAGAAAATGTTGCGCTGTAAACTCCAGAACGATATAATACTGGAGAATTCATGAATTCTGCAGTTGTATAATAATGTAGATTCAAAGCTGTTGTATGTATTATAAATAACAGATTCGGTGGTTACGTTTGTCGAAATTTCATTTAGTCTTGTAAAAGTTCAGAGATGTAAAAAACGATAGCAAGAGATTGATTTCATATATTTATGAATAATATCAAGTTTTCAATTTTATTAAAGTTTTAAAAATCTTTTTTAGAATTTAATAATACACAGCGATATGCAATGAACAGATAAATTTGATTCTCATTCTTGGATTTTTGTTGTAACTGTATTTGCAGTCCCTGATTATCGCATTAATGACCAATGTTCTGTTTTTACGTCATGTGCTTTTTACTTGAAAGAAAATAGGGAGAGAGAGGGAGGGGGGGAGAGAGAGAGAGAGAGAGGGAGAGAATGCATGAAATATTCATATATTCATGGAATCAGTTCTACATGGATATGAATTATTAATGTAAGAGAATTATCATTGGTAATCAACGGATATGACAATTAGTCTCAAATTATGGGACCTAATTAGAGATAATCGCAGAATTTATCATTTAAATTTCTTATCTTTTTAAGAAATAAAAAGTATTGTAAGATAATTTATTTTTACAATACAGGCAATGAAAAATAAATATAAGAATTTTCAAGCATTAAATTAAATTGATTTTGTTATCTTTTACTACGATACATTTGCCTACTTGAGGTTTCTAAACAATCGAAGTAAACGAGAAAACAGAAAATAATCCCACATTTTGGAAATTTTCTATACAGTCATTTTAAACATGACAAACTAAGATTTCAGTGACGGTGAAATAACATTTAAATTTCTTTAATGCAGACATTAACAGAAAGCTCAAATTTATTTTAGACAAATTATAAAGTAGAAGTTTGAAAGTCGACGCTTTCTAAAAGTTCTACTCTGTTAGTTACTCTAACAAGCTGGGAAGGATTTTAGTATTTTTTAAAACGTTTTATGAAAAAAAATCTGTACAGCGGACAAATTTAACACATTAACACACGAAACAAGAATATCAAAAACGCCAGGAACACTGATATTTTTGTTAAGAGAAAAACCAACATAAGTTGGACATGAGTTATTGTAACTCAAACGTAAAAGAAATCGAGTTGCCATGTCTCTTTCACGTAGATTTTATTTTTTTGCGCAATTAGGACAGAGATCGATTGATCGGAAGCTCGTCTGGGAAAATCACCGGAAAAAAATTTACCGGTATTTCATCCGTAACACATAGAAGAGAATATTCTTTCGGGACCATGCAATTCCACCCAAAATTCCAGATAAACTAGTTTTCCGTAAATTTTCTTGTACTGATTTGCGCCTCATGCAGTATACTAATGAACAGAATACCATTAAGCCCGAAATCTTACAGCTTCTCACGTAAAATATACTCATTACACGTCAAATATCAGATTATTTGCCTTACATATGTATAACAACATTTACTTATTTATGTTAAATAATCATGTACTTGTTATGCCAATGTTAATAACAATCTCTTTTAAGTATTTTTATAAATTTCCTACAAATATAATAATCGTTTATATAAAGCAGTTCTGTTACTTTTTACCATGTGTGTGAAGAGAAACTGAGAAACGAAAAGTATTACAATATTATATACATAGACAAACAACTGAAAGAGCACATCGAACAAAGATACAAATTTAATGATTCTTGAATAGGTAGATACTGATAAGAGGTATTATAATTGCTCATTTAAATTAATGCATTGAATAAAATATTACTTAAAATATTATTTATTAAAATATTACTTAAATAAAATTTTACATAAAATTTTACTTTTTTAAATAATTTTTTACTGCTATTCAGTCGTCTTTGAGAGAAAGCCTTATCATAGAAACTTTTGCAGTTATAGTACCTTTCAATGGTAGCGTCAATACACGTGTCTGGCATATACTTTATGCGTTCTTTTTGCGCACATAAAAATCCGTACACGTGTCGTTCCTTGGAAAGTGTAACAGAATGGTAAGATAATATACAGACGTCTTTCACATTATTTGTAAAATCATAAATAAACTAAACTCATAAATACGTAGTCATAAAGTGATATATATAAATTAATTTGATTGTTAAATTTCGTTACAAATCTTTTTGTATTAAATGTTTATATTAAACGTATCTTTTTATATATAAATCATACAATATGATTTATACATTATACATATCATGAAGCTGCTAATCAATTTTCTTATCTCTTGTGATATTTGAAAATAATTTCTAATTTGATAATTATGAGTTACTAATATATGTTACATAACTTTTTATTAGAATACTGCAGAGTTCTATTGAAAGAGATTCCAAAGTCAAAGTGGGTAAATCGATTCCATATTGTGACATCGTCGTTGTCAAGAAAATGACTTTAAAAGTCACTAAATATCGCAAAGACATACATACGCGCCCCACAACGTAATGTATATTAATATTCTGTATATTATTCAATGATTATATATCGAATAATTTATAATGGGGATATGTAAATATAAACAAATATTCTATAAATCTCTATATCTTTTTTATAAAAATATATTGGCCGTGCTCCTGCTCCATATTTGTTATAGAGCGTATGCGTTTTAAAAATAAGAGTAGAATTTAAGATAATATAATGAAAAATCCATACAAAGTACAACGTATACAATATATGTATACATGATACATATGGTTAACATGTTCTGCATTCCTGTATATAACAAACTGTATATGTTTTGAGGAAAAACTACGTATTAAACATACATGTATATATGTATGTATCTGTATGTGTGTTGCGTGTATATGTAACTTTAAAAAATACCGCTAAAGTTGCTTAGTGGAATCTCATTAAAGCTGCGTATTTTGTTATTACATGCGATTATGTCAATACATATAATTATATCCGTTTAATCATATTGTTTTTTTCTGATACTTATTAAAAAGTTGAAGCGCTGTAAATAATAATAATAATTTCTGTATGGCAAATTGTTTTATCTATTGAAATCTTGTTAAATTAGCTTTTGTGGATTTAAACTTATTTATACATGGTTTTTCTATGTATTAATCGTAATGAGTACAGCAAATTTAAGTGATAAGTTTTGCATCAACTATATAGCATTTATGTATATACATTATAAATATTTTATATAATATATATTATTTATGTATATTATTCTCTCAATGATATGTTGTTTATTTAAATGTTATGTAAATAAATTAATGTTGTTTTTCGAAAAGAAACTTAAAAATAATAATAATTGTTATTCATATATCCTATTCCAGATATTCAAAATTAATCTTGCTGCATTTGTTTTAAGATAAGCTGCACATGTATAGATTATTTTGTTCTATTCTTTTTAAAAGAGCTTATCTGTGTAGCATTTTTGTTGTCACAGTAAAGAACGTACATAGAGCTTTTCTCAGATTGTATATTCTGAGAAAATGCATATATGCAAGGAATATGTGATACTGGCAAACATATTAATCTGCCTACAAGAGGTATTGCGGCATGGCGTACATTGCGTTGCTTACCACTAATAACATTCTCCGAGAGTTTACATCATAAATTGCATAATATAATCAAATTCTTTATGCTCATAAGGCATTAAATAGCACTAACAACCACGTAGATTCAATTAAAATTTTAAGACTTGTAATATTAAAATCCCTCTTTTCTTTTCTAAAAAAAGAAAGAAATGTTACTGGCGTGAATGTCATTAATATCGAACAGTTGAGGCCTCTTTTCCGCGATACTAATTGGTTTTCTCAAAGCGCAATGTGCTTCACTTCTCTTTTAGATTCAACGTTATGCTTCACCTCGAATTTTGACAGGTTGGAAAAAACATATACTTAAAGAAGGTTAGAGAATAAACATAAAGTTAAAAAAAAAGAGAAGTTAAAATTAAACATCTTATGGAGTGAAGGAAAATGATACTAATTGTGAGTAAAAGTAAAATTCAATAAAAAAAATAAGAGACAGTTTGAAAAAATAATCAGAATGCATTGAAATAATATCTACCAATTTAGTAAGAATGGATAAAGATAAAAGCTAATAAAATAAAAAATAATTTAACTATTAACTAATTTATCAAGAGAATGGAACAATCTACTCTAAAATGTAAAAATAAGGATAATGTTAAATGACACGCGCGTAGCGCATATATTGTTCTAGTAAATTGAAAAGGAAATTGGACCAACTAGACAAGCAATATAAAATTATAAGTTCAATTTTAATCTCCCATAATTAGAGTCAAATAATCAAGTAAACTTTTGGCTTTGATAAGCCTCCTTCGGTACAATTATAAAAGCATGAAATTAAATGTGATAAACGATACTAATGAGGCAATAATTTACAATAAATAAGATAGCATGCTAGCAATTCTAGCAATACATGAAAATAAAAATATAAATAAAAACAAACTCCATTTTATCGCTTTTTTATTTGACCTACATATGAAATATTGCAGTTTTTCTATTGTATCTTCTATACTATATTTGAGTTAGAGGCATGATTATATTTGTCTTTGTTTAATAAAACTTGTTAAGTTTGTTTAAATAATGTTAACCTATAGTGATGCCGGATTTTCTGAATACTGATGTTATTAAGTTATTAAAGTAAATTATATACTCAAACTATTTTAAATGGAAAAAAATCTTCCTTCCTTAAACAATCCAGCTATTCATAGTTCTCTAGAGAGTTTTTTTTAAGTACTAAAGTTATTTAATCTGATCTGATAGTTTGATTTCAGCTTGAAGTAGATTATGCCTGAAACGTGTGAACAAGGTTTTGTTCGAGGATCAGAATATTAAGTTTAGTCAAGAAATTGGAAGAAAGCTTTTCAGCTTGAGATCTACTAACAATAAGATAGCAGAGAAATGTCTATCTCGTAAATTGCTCATCACTCACCATAGTCTTTCCCGAACAGGTTGGCCCCACAAGCATTAATCCGTTACGCATCAATATAGTTTCGTACAGTTGTACTACCTTTCTCACGAAGTCTGTAATTAGAGGTACAACTTCAATAGATTCTACGAGGCATGGTCGGATGAGTTGCTAAAGCTGTGAATACCGGTATCGATCCAGTCCGCGTCATCACATTTAGCGTGCGCTTTCAAATTGGATGCTTTAGTGCGAAGACACGTTTTGCACATTGCGTTTATTTTCATGATTTCCATAATTTTGCAAAGTATAGGTATTAACGCGAACAAGAACTTTCTTGTGCGGCAAGAGGATATGAAGTGTATAATTGTCACAAAGAATCAGTAAAAATTTATTACTACTTTGTAATAAAAATTGATTACTCTTTCTTTTTCTTCTATATGCGTATTTTTAAGTTGTAGTTTAATAGTAAGAAAAGAAACTTAATACAATATTAAAAATTTTCGATAAACAATTTCTTCAGTTATAAAGAGTAAACATAATCTATAGATAATTTTATCAAAATTTGATAAAAATTTCATTCATTTAATGCGTATGATGCATAGAACTAAATTATTTATATTATAAAATATAACATAAGTATGACAAGTATATGTATAAAAGGTGTGCTTTTATGCCAAACTCGAATAATATAATATATTCAAATATGCAAACGTATGTTAATTGCAGATTATAAGTAGAAAATTAAACTCACCATCAACGTCTTCTAAATTCATTTGTTTAATAGATCTACGGATGCCTGCTTCTAAGATCCCATAATTCACTGGTTTTTCAACAAGTCCTGGGAAGAGATCCAATAGAATGCCTAGAAATAAAAATAATAAACTTGTTAGTGCATTAGATGTCTACAGAGGAGTACAAAGATTATGAAAAAGAAATTCCTTTATTCAGTAAATTACTTTTAAGGTAAAATTAATAAAATATATACATATATGTGTACGTGCATATATGTAAATGTATGCATGTTTAAAAGAAAGCGAATTATATATAATTTAAAAATACATCTTTTTATTTAAAAAAATTATTTCTGCATTATTTAAAGTTCTAGAAATAGACATGCACTTACCGTTAAACAATTTCAAGTCGTCTTTGAAAAACTTGGGAACATTTACGTTTTTCAAAGCACGCAGGCAAATTTGGTCCTCTTCAAGATCTTTTTGCTCTCTTTTCAATTTGCCAGCAGCCGCAATAACAGTCTTTGTTGCACGCATACCAAAGTCATAATGGTCCTGCCATATTATATTTTAGATACAATAAATTAAAATTGCGAAGTTAATTAATTCTAGAGCATAATTAATACATGTTTGTAATATATCTTAAAGATATTAAATGGTTGAGATATTTTTGGTGGCATAAACTAACCATATCCTTAATTTCTGTTAAGTTATTAATTTATATAATAATTTATTATCACAATGTGTATGTTATAATAAATATTTTATATGTGTGTTTATCACAGTTTTATGAAATAGATATGTATATGTATAGTATATTGGAAAGTATATTTGTCTGTTATTTTTCCTCGAAGAAGAAAAGAGAAAAATAGAAGAGGAAAAGGAGAAAGAAAGTAAGATACTTGTATGCTTAGTTGCTCTGAGCATAGCTTAAAAGTTGTAGTGATTTTTCTGGCAAGGTTTCTGGCATCCACAAAGCCGTAAGAGAATAAAGATATTTCAGCAATAAGAACGTAATCTGGCACCATCATAGCCACCGGCCGAAAAAGTGCTTTTAAGTTGTCAGGTAATTCCGTTCGACCAGCATAACCAGGAATCATCGTAATGAATACAGCGCAAGACTGCTTTAATGTAAGTTCGACTCCTTCGAAAAGAAATCTGCAAGTTCATGTAAATTTTATATGTAAAATCAATTAGAGAAATTATAGCACTGGAATAAATGTAACACTATTTTAGTTTTTAAAATTAATAATTGCTATTTTAAATTATATTTTTTATATTTTTATTATTTAATAAGAATATTATGTGATGTCATAACTCGATTATCTGTATATTAATAAGAATAACATGTAAATAAATATTGTTACAAAATATGAATTGCAGTACTCTTTTTACAAGAAAAATTTTACAGTTAATAAATTACAGGTTTTACTTCCATATCAAACGGTTCTGTAACTACATAACATTTAAATTTATTGTAATAGTAAATGTTTCTAAAATTACAAAACTATTTAATGTTTTTCTAAAGCCTTTGTTAAAATTTCCACTTGCAATTTATATTATTCCTAAGTCATTCTACATCAAGTTTTCATTTCGGTTTACTTACTTGCTCGTTCGTATCTGCTGTGCTTTTTGAATGGTCATAATTTGCTGTGCGACAACTGACAAAACTTCGATATTGATTCGATTGAATTCGTCGAAACACGCCCACGCACCGGTGCTATGCAATATTGCAAAATGTTGGATTTAATTATTAAAAAGACTACGAAATTAATTAATTTAAGGTTTCAACGTAATTTGCATTAATTATAATAGTTAATTGATTTGAAGTGCTCATAGCTTACCAGGCGAGTCCCTTGAAAAACTTGCCCATACATCGAAAATTCAATTGATCGGAACAATTGAAAACTACGCACTGAATCGCGAATGCTTTCGCGAGATCCTTCGTGGTTTCCGTTTTGCCAGTGCCTGCCGGACCAGACGGTGCACCGCCGAATTTCAGATGCAACGCACCAAGAAGAGTTAGGTAGCAGCGATCAGTCAATGGTGTAATTACCAATCTTCCATTATTACCCAAGTATTCATATCTACAAAAGAAAATGATTGTGTATTGTGTTCTGTTTGCACACTCGTAACGGCGCTTGCCCACTTCGAAATGACTAAACTCGGTTTTCGTTAAAGAAAACTGATTCATTATCAGACAAATACAGCGGAGAGGAAAGACAATACGTCTGAACAGTTTGACAGTTTGGCTACAAATCTTCTTAGCAATCGTTTAACAACATTGACGCGTTGTTATAGGACTGCTTTGCAATTTCTTTATAATTGCAGTTTGATTTGGCACAATCCAAAGGATTGTATCAGCGCGAACG